GCAAATTGACTTTTATAGTGTTTTAATGTAAAATGTTTGCAAAAATCTGTTTCTTTGCTTTAATATGTCAGATGATACTTCCTTGCCTCTTGTCACTGCATGCGTCATGAGGCTCTCTGTTGGTGCATGGCTGTCCGTGAGCACTGCAGTCGATCAGCTAGGGTCTTATATTCTTCGCACGTTTGGGCCTGTGCAGTCTACTTCCGTAATTAATGGCTCAGAGCTGCTCCTGGTTGGTGGACATTAACAAACTCTTTATGTTGGGCAAACTGCAGTGAATGAAAAGTTCAGATTAGTGGAAAATCACCTCTGTGTCTGTTGTACCATGATATTGTTTTTGTGTTATTTAGTCCTTTTAGTTTAGTTTGCTCTATTTTTTTTCTGTTCTAGTTCCCTGTTTCACTCCCACATACCTCATTCTTTCCAATTCTCTTAAAGGGCATGAGTTCCATTAATATCAATTCAGTTTATTGTGACCTCTTTAACTGGCCACAGTGTACCTAGTAAGAGGTCTACATAGTTTGGACATAAAGCACTTTATCTTGACTTCATGGGCAATAATTTGAGAGAATAAATGTGTTTTGTAACTTGATAATTCTCTGAGGAGTTGACTTATCTTTGGTAGGTTATAGTAGTACAGGTAGGCCATTAAAAGTTAAATTGTCATCGTTTCTGCGTTCACAGCTGATGGTTATATAAACATAAATCTCCATTTATAGTCCACACTTTTTACTCATACAGTGTGTATTCTTTTGTGCTATTCTCTTCTCGTTTTTCTCACTATGTATAGCACCATACTATGAACACAAAACAAGAGGTAATGTGGATAATTTTAAAAACAATTTAAGAATAATTATGAGATTTATATTAGCATAATCCAGTCTTAACATGCATCATAAATGTATTAAATGTGCTCTAGGCAGCATGGACAGACAGAAACCATGGTGGAAAAAAGGACCCACAGATACGATGTGGAAGTTGTCCAGATTTGACACACCTGCATTTACTGAAAGGACAGCACCTGCAAGGATAGATGCTGCACCAAGCTTATGCTTTTGTCTAGATACACACTGGCAAAGACAGCAACCTGCATCATGAATTAAGCAAATAGCCCCCCTGGTAAACAGTTCCTTCAGATGAATTATGTATTTTGTTTTGTTTGGCACATAAGCTGTATTTTTGTTCAATAATGTCCTAAAATACTAAACTGTTAGGAAAAAGGGTCCAGCCCTTTTTGTACCCAAAGGTATAAACAACATTAATGTACCTCATAGTCCATTTCCGTAACTTAAAAGGATCATTTACCTACAGCTAGGGTGCAACTGGCAGACCCTTGAGGGTACTAGCCTCAAGGGTGTAAATAGGTTCTAACAGTATAGTTGACTGGTGTTCATACTACTACATCAGTGATCCCTGGCCCAAGTTCTTCTCACAGTTCTGGGTGAAGGATGTGGGATGAGTGGCCATGTCCTGAGGGTGGTGTTTCTGTCAGCATTGCTAAAGTAATTCACCCCAGGTACAGTATGCATTCCTAGCTACCAGCCATCCAGCACTAACAGGTGCTAGAGCTCAGTTCCTTCCCATCTTCGCATCAAACATAAAAAGTTTTCTCAACAAGAAAAATGCTGATAGCAACTTGGAGACGTAATTGCTTTAATGAATCTGTTTGAGAGTGAATAGTTGAACCTGTTGGGATTGTTTCTTTGCAGGTGAACCACAGAAGAACACCAGGATGTGAAAGGGCTTAGCAGGCACTGATATCTAATTCTTAGAGCTGTGTATTAGGTGTTGCAATGCTACATGACATCATTACTTGTTTTGAAGAAGTATAATTATAACATGGAAATTAGGTTATTTCATGGACTCCTAGTAAAAGGCCGACTGAAAAGAAATGCTGGGCCAAAAGAAAGCAGATAGCGCTCTCTGTTTTTAAGGTTCCCTCCATTCTTATGGATCCATAGCATTTCAAAGAATCCGTACAAAGAAAAAACCAATTAAACAAGGGACCACTAGCTGGTTAATATTCACTTTTTACCATACTTAAATTTTAAATGATATTCAGTGTCTTGCAGGAATTATCACGCAAAGCCAAATGCTAATTTAATTAAAATCAAGCTTTAATATCTCAATTTGATTGTAGTCAGCTGAACTGGCAAGTGGCCCATTCCCTTCCCCTGGTCCTGGATATCAGCGGGAGCTCTTTTTCATCATCTCGGCACCCTAGGAAGTAACTAGACCCTTTACACTCTTCTGTTAGAGAAGCACAGACCTCACTTCACTTATGCAGTTCTTTAGTCTTAGGTCCATTATCTATCTGAATGAGCTTTGTGCTGTCAGCGATTGACTGTACATCACCACCAAGGCAGGTGATTTGCTTCTTCATGAATGATGATCTTGTGTTGATCTGCTCTGACTAAGGTTTCAGTTATTGCCCTTGTTATGGCATTCTCCAGGGTTATTCCACTTACTGAGCAATTAGTTGGCCTGTGTTTGCATTATTAGCATGAAATTTGACCAGGAATTTAGTGCACCCTGGACTAGAGCTACAGGTGAAATATTCAACCATAAGAGATCCCCTGCTGAAACATACCTGTTCTTCCAAGATATAAATGGAGGAACCAAAAGTATTTTTCTCCACCACTTAGTCTGGTGAATGTTTGGGGGAAGCGCCCAACAGATTACAGAAGAAGCAGATAATACATCATAAGGTAACAGTAACTTAATATTAATAGGGACAAATTAAGCCAAATTAAATATTGGGGGGTACATATCCCTCCCGGTTCCTATGCCCCTGGTTACAAGCAAACGATTGGTAAAAATGGGGTGGATGTTACATTATTGTAGCTTTCTCTAATATTTGAAATGTTTTGCTGGATCAGGGAATTCAAATTTGTAATTGCTGAAGCCAGTCATTGTTTTAGTATTAGAATTATAACTAAAGGGGGAAAATATTTAAAGGCACAATGTCACACTCTAAAATAAAAATAAAAGAGGGTAATGTTAATCCAGAAGGTTAAGCAAAATATGCAGAGTATGCACTGGAAAAAGAGAAAACTCACATGAGCAAAACAAAAAAAGCGTTGAATTTCACTAATGTTCTCACAAAATTTCTCTTGACACCAGAATCGATGGCCATGGCATTTGTTTCTCATAGTCAATAAGCAAGACAATAACTGTGCATTGGAAAGTGGATGACAGCAGTAGACTTTAAAAAAGAAAGAAAAAAATCAATCCAAGGTTTCATTTACAGTCTTCCTTAAATCAGACTGTTGCCAGGCTCTTGCCAACTTCAAATGCAGATTAAATTCTCACTGCATATTGTACTTTAGGGAGAGGAGCCACCAAACAGGACGACTTCTGAACAAAGACATGTCTCCCTGTCAAACTGAAAACCACAGTTTGAAGAGCCTAAGTGGACATACACAGCCATTCAGAATTGCAATGCTCAGCTTACTTATGCGTGTTAAATTCACCATTTATAGATTTTCCCAGCGAGATGTAAAACACATGTTAAACCCAGAGGTAACACCTTCACAGCATGGTACCAATATAACACCAGCTCCCAGATGCTTTCATTAATGCATTGTACCCACACAAACCTCTCCCACTGCAAACATCAGCCACCTCACAGTTAACTGTTGAGGTATTTCAAATAGCTGCTAATAATTTAAATTAAACTTAATGATTGTACTCTCCATTTTTTTTTTTCCATATTTCACCCATGATAATCTCTTACTCATAGTAACCCCTCCATTTTGAATCAACTGATTCTCGTTTTCTGCTACAAAAGACCCAGGATTATAACACCATCTCAGAGCTACTCACGCTCTGCACCAGAAACAGTATGATGTGTCTGTGTGTCTGACTTTTAATTAATTCATCTTGGTTTGACTCCTTTTCCTTTTCATGTCTTTTGTTTTAGTGGAAACCTAAAGTCAGACTCTCCACATTTACAGTATATAAAAGAAGCTGGCTTTAACAGAATAGAACAGTGATACTTTATTCATGGAGAAAATTCTGTTTTCACTTATCCCATCTTGCTCTTCATGAGCCACACAGACACACATACAGGCGAGAGCAGGCTTGGGGGTTACAGTGCTGGGTCAGCCAGCGTGGAGCAGGCTTGGGGGTTACAGTGCTGGGTCAGCCAGCGTGGAGCACCCTTGGTGTACCCACTGAGCACCCAAAAATTGTATTTATTATATGAAGCAGATTTCAGTTATGAAGCCATGTTATGAACTAAAAATCACTCTTACCATCTAGATTCTGTGGAACAACAGTTTAAGAAAACTAAAGAAGGAATGGCCTTCCTCCATTGGCAGAGCCATTTCAGAATGAGAATCGGATTTATAGCATAGGTCGAAGCAGAAGTTCAGCTATAGGGTTTCACAAATAGATATTACTGACCCAATAGCTACTGATTTAAACCCTAGTTAGTAACATTCTTTCATCAGTGTCACAGAAATTTGTTTCTAGGCATAATTGCAAGGTGCGGAGACCGGGTAATGCCTGTGGACAAGCTAATGTGATTGACTTTCAGAAAACAGGGTCCGAACAGTGTTGATTTATTCACTGGGCCTTGTTGATGGATCCATACTGCAGGCTAAATAGATTGAATTCATCAAAAGAAAGCACCTTGTTTTGCTGAACCCTGAAAGATTTGCCGGTGCATTCTGCAATGTGGTGGCGAGAAAATGCGACACTCTTGGCTGACATTCCACGTTGGCAGGAGATCTTGAAAAATGTTTCCCTGCTTGACACTTCCGAATCCATTAAAGGATTAAAAGAATTAGAATTTTAAAATTATTTATTCATATTTAACTATACAACATATTTTGTGTATGTATACAGTAATCACAGTGGGAAAACTGTAAAACCATTTATAAGTTAAACACCTGACAACGGTTAATTGGAAGATTCGAACGAACAGCGTGTCACGAAAGACCTGCTATATCTCGGGTTTGCACCCCCTGCATAGCCTAAGGACCGGCTCACCTGTTTCCTCATTGAAACAACCCATTTGTTTGTCAGCTAACCCCCTCTAGCGCCGATCTCCTCTCGGCACAGCCCGGATCCCGTTCTCCGTTCTACGGACAGGTTACAGAGAACTAACCGCTGCGCCGGTGCTGTGTAGGAGAGCAGTCCGTCTCTCTCACTGTGCGGGAAGTCAAAGGCAGTACCGCTTGTATGCAGGATATATAAGGATGGTACAGGCTGCTTATTACTGCAACGGGGATATTCAAAAATAGAAAAACAAGTGGTGCGATTTTACTTCTGTAGTCTTGTCAAAGTTGATTCAAGTGTTGTAACGTTCAGCAATACATTTCCATAAGAACCATTAAGGAGCTTATTTTATGTCTTTTAGCTATTTATCTAAGTAACTTTATGATTAACGCTCATCCTGCATTGTGGTCAGAGCCTGGATGGGTCGGTTATCTGACACAGTGTTTATGTAGACGGCTGTCCAGTCCGCCGTACGCCTGTAAAAGCTCCGAGGAGCTGGAGCGCATTTAGCGGATCACACGTGGATTCTGCTCCCTTTCACAGCCGGAGGAAGCGTAGCTAGCTTAGTGCGCCTCAGAAATGCCTTTTGGAGTTCAAATCTACCTTATTTTTATACTCCTAAGGGTTATTTTCACGGATCCAAGTCACAGTAATCAAGGTAAGGCTCCGCTAGGACTAAATGAATTAATATAACAATTAATTAATGACCGGCATTCGTAGACTTAATTGTAGTTTTATTGACTTATCCGGTACCCGGTCAGTCCTGCTACGTAGGTGAAGTTCCCAGTATTTTACTCATTCTTGTGTTCTTAATCGTCATTCCTTATATTTTCAGGCTATTAGTTATATATCTTACCACGAATAGACTGTTTTATTGTGGCTGAACTTTGCACGAACGTGAAAGTATATGCAGATACGAGAATCCCTGGTTTTATATTGGCCCACTCAGGTGCACAATCGGTAATCAAGAACTAATTATTCGCTAGTACCTTTTTATTGCTCATTATTATTTTTATCTAATATGTCGGGGCATCATTTCATTCAGAGGCAGTCTTTCTGTAGGTAAACTTTTCCTCACTCTGATTAGGGAAAATAACAGTGCTGGATTATTACCTCGTCGAAATAACCGTGTTGCATTTAATGCTATAGCGTTACCTTCATTTCGAAACGCGAACTTCACAAACAACCAAAAGATAATTAAATGTGGCACGTAGTTTAAAATAAACGGCGGTACATGGGATGGTGAATACTGATATTCTGCAGCATCCGGTCAGCATTATGCAATATGTAATCGAGGATAACGGTGAAAAAGGAGACTCAGGCTTGCAGTGCAATGGCTAGGAAGATGCCGTATACTTACTGTGGGGAGCCTAAGTGCTATTTAAATGCATTGGCTGGATGTAATTGATTACTTATTATGAGTCAATTGTACGTACTTAATGGCGATCCACAATATTTCTAACTATTCATTTTCTTCGCCTCCTCATTTTAAGCAGCAGTAGTCTTAAAATTGGACTGTTATCTCAGTTTATATAGCATAAAAAATGGCATAATGTAATAAATCAGAAGACTTAACAAATACCTGCTTTTTCATAAGAAAAGTAAAAAATGTATGTTAATATGTAATACCGGTCATTGAGATTTTGTCTGTAACATACTTTTGAAGATTTTTTTCCTTCACAAATAGCTGGATAACTCAAATTATTCTTCGTGATTATCGATTGATTAATTATAGTACATCTGTAATGGCACCTTTAATCTGAGTGTTTGTTATTCTATCCTTCACCTCAACCTCAGCTGGCACCTTCGGTAGCAGCGGGGACAAGTAGCTCTAAAAAAAATGAAGCGCACTAACATGTGCATTGAGCGGCCTTAGAAATCCTTTAGAACTTAAATATTTTGCAGGTTAGCTTGTCACTGAAATATGTATGTTCCATGTGAGCGATAACTAAATGAATCATGCAAGTTAATTTACTGAAACCACAATTATAGTCCATGAATACTGTAAATGAACAGTGGCTGTCCTGTTCTACTAGCGTTACTGGTAACTAAATGGAAGTATAAAGCAAAATAAAAGTTCAGAAACATTCTGAGTTAAAATATTTTTCTGTGTCTGTTTTTTTTACATTTCTCTCAGGTTGAATATTATTAATATATGTAATGGGAAGATCCTTATAACTGTGGAAAACAGCTTGATGGAGTCATATATATTTGAATTGTGGTCTTTTTTTCTCAGTTAGAATCCAAACAACAAACTTGCTCATTATAGCTCATTACCGTTTGTATTTTTATGATTGATCAGGCTATTAAATGCATGTTTTTAACATAATAATGTATTGTTTAATTTTAATGCTACAATTTTGATTTGTTAGCCTGAGAGGAAGTAGTCCCTGGGACTAAGTAAAGAGCTTTAGAGATATCTTATTAATATCTTTTTAAAGCGGTCAGATTTCAGAGCTGATTCTGACTCGTATGCCTCATCACATTTACTGTTTGTGATGCCCTAATCAATAGTTACATTCCACTGATACTTTACTAATCGACACATCTTTTGCTGTTAAATTGTGTTTACTGTTGTGTAATATATATTTATGCTAATTCCATTTCTGATGTTAGGAGTTTTCCAGGGAATTGTGAATTGTATAAGACAATAGAGAACAGAAAGTTGCGAAGGAAAAGAAAACACAGAATAAAACGGTAAAATGCTAAGTTTGACACTTCTTAATTTGCGAGCTGTCAGAAGAGTAAATTACATACAAGAGGCTTTTATGTTTGATGCAAAATAAATAATGTGGCAGGTGGAGTATTTTTGAGGGCATAACAGCCAACTGTCTTGCAGTTAGGGTGGTGTTTCTCATTCTTTAGAGACTTTTTTTACATTATGATAAATTATTTCTGAAAACAATAGTCATTGGGCTTATATTTTTGGGTTGTAAAGTTTTGTACTTATCTACATTTTGTATGTTTGCATTATAGCATATTATTAATTACACAGTAATAAGAATAGCCTGTTTTTTTCTCTTACATAGGTGTACAGTTAGGATGAAAATCAAGGGATTTATTGGTAAGGAAGGTGTATGCATTTTACATGCAGCTTTTAGTTTATGGTTATGTCTTTAATGGGAAACTTGGTGGTTGAGGGCTACAAACAGCATTGTTTTTGTCATTATTCAGCTCATAATTACTGTTTTGAAGCCGTTTTTTGAGATAGGATAGGATCGGATTGGATTGGATCTGCATTTCCCCGTTTTCAAAGAGAAAAGTGACCCAAAAATCTACAGACACAGACGGGGTGCCACCTCTGCTCAAGAGGAGCACCGGGGGGCCACTGTGTCTTCTCTCTGTATCTCTTTCTGTATTTCTGTATAAAATATGGAATGGCCTACCATGTAAAGGATGTTTTTCTGATCATGGAAATTTAACAAAATCTGACAGCTATGATTGTTCATAATAAGTTTTTGTTCCCATGTCTATGTGTTGACTGTACATGTTCTCCCCGTGTCATGGGGTTTCCTCCTTGTTCTTTGGTGTCCCGCCACAGTCCAGAAACATGTTGCCAAATTGTCCATAGGTGTGAATAGTGTGTGTGCGTCCTACAATGAGGTGGCACCCTGTCCTGGGTTATTCCCTGCCTTATGCCAGTTGTTTCCAGGATAGGTTCTGGGCCCCGTGCGACCCTGTAAACAGAGTGGGTATGGAAAATGGATAGATGAATGGCTCAATGAATGAATGACCACACTGTTTATTAGTCTTTAAACATGCACTTTAAAAATTGTACTAAATTGCATGTTTTGTTTTCGTATCGAATTTTTCTATTAAAATAATCCATTACATAATAGCACTACGCTGCAATTAATTAACTGTTAACACTAGATGAATTTTTAAATGACTGAAAGAGCATACAGTTGCAAAAATGTACTGTGTGGAAGGGTCACAGCTGGGAAATAGCTGTATCTTCCACTCCACTGGTCCCTAGCTCAGAATCAGAAGGCAATGACTGACCCTCAGGGGGACCTTATGCTATGACAATGACATACCAAAAAAAATCAAACAAATAAAACAAACTGACAACAAATGCTGATGAAAAAGGGGACTCTGCATTCTGCTAAGGCCATTTAGTCTCCCAGATATAAAGTTATGGTGTGTATTTAAGAGGACAAAAGGAAGGGAGCTTTCAGGGTGTCAGGAAGTGTCACCTGTCATTGTTTTTTAAATATCGAGTCAGTTAAATTCGTAAATAGGGTGTGTTTCTGTGTGTGTGTGTGTGTGTGTGTGTATATACAGTATATTATATATATATATATATATAATGTGTTGGATTTTACAATATGTGATATGTCTTTCTTCTGTATGAAAGTATAAATGTGTTGCTTAAAGATATAGTTAGGTATGATCAAATGGATTCTTAAATACAGTGTCCAAGGTCTGTTGGGGTGAGAATTGGCAGAGACCTCCCAATTTGATTTTATATTTAATATTTTTTTGGCAAATCGATATGTATTGTCATTTTTAAATAGTTTTTGCTGAAGAGCATTTCAGGTCTACATTGAAAATAAAGGCAAGACCTTTAATTTATCCCTCAAGTGCCAGTCGAATGCATAATCTGTGGTTCAGAATGCACAAGAAAATACATTTTTTGACATGGGCAAAACCTAAAGTACTAGCTTATCAATACGGAAAATATTATGCTAATTGTGACTGTAAATTGGTTACGGCTAGTGCTAGAGAGCTCAAAGGCCCTCTCACATCATTTAAATCTGTAGTTAGGGAGCATTTTGTTCCCTGTAAATTACACAAACATCAGAGAGAGAGTTATTAACAAGACCAAGACTGTTTGTCCATCCTGTTACTCGGATATAATCCTGGAAACAAATCCAACATGCTTACTTACATGGACAACATCATCCAAGTGTTTATGTGACCAGAGTAAGGCAGAAACAGCCTCTGCAAGTTAGTCTCCCCATAGCATTTAAGGCGCTTTTACTCTTTTGCCAGGAAATTCAGACCGAGACCAGGCTTAAAAAAAAGGGGGGGGTGGTTAAATTAAGGCTATAGGGGTATTTATCGCTACAGATATGTGACCATACTCGGCAGTAGAGAACACTGGATTTAGTTCATTATGATTGTTATGATGCAGTCTCATTTTGTTCTAATATTTTATTTTGCATATTTATTCTTAGTGGGCAAATTGACCGTCTCAAGTTTTGTTCTTCAGGCACGTAGACACATAGTGTTTTGTTTGGTTTACAACTGTTCCTAATTGTTATCATTTTTAAGAATAAACAATTTCGAAAGAATTTGGTTTCCATGCTGTATCGAAATTGCACTGAACTGTGAACCCAAAACCGGTGTGTGTACCAAGCTGTGAATTTTATGTACTGTTACACCTCTAGTAAAGATTGTATCTTCTTACATTAATTAAAGAGCCTTTATTGGGCCATTATTTAAAGTTATGTAGAGGATGTTACCTTGGACATGTTAGCTGCTGGTCTGTGGCCATCCAAATCAGGGCTTCTGCGAAGTTGCAGGCAAATGTCAGTGTACAGTAATAACATAATATTTTATCTTGCCGATAGCTGTGCTCATGTCTACAGTAGGTGTTTGCCCAAACTTTTAAATTGAAACAGTGCTAGAAAATTCTCTGTTCACATTCACTTATTCGTGACAGCACCATGCTAGACATGTCAGTCCCTAAACAAAATGTATGTGCAACTAGGCAAATATTTTAGCAGTAACAAATGTGACCAACATAATTACAGTAACCGATGTATACCTAGAAGAATCAATTTCCCTCCCCCACTCTTAAAAGTCTGCATAAGCAAAATAAGAAAATGAGAACAATCTCCTGAGAGTTTTGTAACTGGCTACATAATGCAGAGGTCCTCGGTCATTTCTTGCCTCTAAATTGCTAGACTACAATGGGGCAGTTTGCTTTTTTCCACTTGTCAAATGTAATCCTAAGTGTATGTAATATTCGTAGCAAATCCTGAATAGCATCTAATATACACAGACGCTAAATGGTTTTATATTGAATCTGTATTTTGCGTATATCCATTTAACGTCCCTTGGTTAGTCTCTTGTCTTTGACTCCAGTAATGCATGTCTGTGTAATATGTTATTATTTTAATCCTGTTTTCCATCACTTTATCCACACTTTCCCAAGTTATTTAATATCTGTGTGAGCATGAGGAGCGTGGCAGCAGTATTGTAAGCAGTAAGCGGAGTTCACTACTGTTACTTCAAGGGCATTTTGGCATAAGGTTGCTGTACCTTCTGATGAACTTGGAAAACGTAGCTATTCTGCTGCAGTGAGGGAACTGGGACTGGAAATGGCACATGTCAAGGTTTGGGATATATGACACGGTAAACCAACATTCGGTACTCGGTATTCAGTAGTTGGCGTGTTAAATGCATACTGTGAGCAGACTGAGGTGGGGGGAAAAAACACGTTCCACCGACAGGGTGTTGGGCAGCCAAGATACATCAATGCGAGATGTCAACTGAGGCGATCCCATCTGGTACGAGGCAGCAGAAGGTCTACTGTGGCACTAATCGCAAAAATAATCTAAATGATGATCATGGGATTAACGGGATCTGACACATAATGCATTGAGGCCTGCTGCATATGGGGCTGTGTAGCCAGTGGCCAGAGTGCTCATGCAGACCACTGCCCGCTGTGCTGGAACTGGGCCTCTTAGGAATGGAAAAAGGTCGACCAAATTCCCGTTGCATCATGTGGATGACTGGATAGGGGTACAGCATCTGTGAGGTGCATTGGACCAACGAGTCCAATCCGTGGCTGTGTAGCCCCATACACATAGCAAGGCTCCATGCACTTTACAGCCGTGGAAAAAATTGAGACCACAGCACAAATTTTGTTTCATTCATTTCTCAATTTATGAATGTGTGCCTGTGAATAATATATTTTCTTCTGCATATTGCAGCCTGGTTCTTCTCTGATTCTCATTGATGAAGGGCTCCTTCCTTGCTTTATGGGAACTCAGTCCTGTTTCTATGGGGCCCAATACAAACTGTCCTAGCAGTGCACTTCACACCTGCACTTAATGTTTCCCATTCCTTTTGAAGGTCACTTGATGTCATCCTCCTATTCAGGAGAAACTGTCAGATTATCTCTGGCATTAGAATGTCGCTTCCGCCTTTTACCTGGCTGGTTTCTGGTCCTTCCCAGTGTCTCCTGCTTATTCTTGTGTACTGCTATCTTAGAAATTTTGAACCTGGAAGCAACCTGCTGCTCAGCATAGCCTTCTGCCAGCTGAATTATGACAATACCAGGATTAAAAAATGCAATTTGTTTAAAAATATAGAGTGGTCTCTTAATTGTTTCCACAGCAGTATATAAAATAAATGTATTTCCATTAAAGTCAATTAAGGATGTTGACACCAAGGTATTTCCACAACTGATAAGTTCCTGTGAAGCTCAGTTGAGAACAGGAAATGACATGGACAGTTTGCTTTAAAAGCCTTTTAAAAGAGTAACCATTTAGCGTGTGTTGTGTGTTAATTTCACCAAAGGGCAGCGTTTTGACTTGTAATTAATTAACTTGCACAGAAATTTGCTTTATTTTGGTTTTTAGGTCAAAGTTAATGAAATGTTCCACTGCAGCAGAAGTTAAATAGTATTGAATGCCTGTTTTAGTTTTATTTCTAGGCTATTTTTTCTATGCTCATTGTACACAGTTATTCTAATGAAATACTCCATCACTTTAATGTGGCTATATAACATGAGCACTCAGTTCTCCTGGTTTAACCTCCCTTCTCTCCATATCTTAATAATAAAAAACATGTTGCCTGTTTGCATAGAGACCCATTTCTGGTGAGATTACCTTGCCTGATGTGCCCTTTATTTTTGCTGATGAAAGGGAGGATGTCCTAGTGGGCCAGTAATACATTTGAATCAAATATCCTTCTCAGATATTTCTGGTATGTCTTTCTTGCACTTTTAATCTCTTCAGAATAAACTCACTGAAAGAAAAGGATAAATACTGGAGCTGTTTCTTTGTGAACACCACAGAGCATACATTTATGCAGTGTGTCTTTGTTTAA